AAACGGCGGTGGCTGGATGGGGAATTTAATTCTCCATCGAACAGCATTAGATTCATTGCTTAATGTTAATTAGGAGGGGAGAGACGATTTTTTAATTGGCGGGCGAGTTATCCATTAAGTTTTTCATAGCGCCGTAAATTGCGTCGCAGTTTTTATTTTTTTATTACAGAGATTAAGGGATGAAACAGGGGTTGATGGATGGGGAATTTATTTCTCCATCGAACAGCATTGGTTTCATTCCTTAATATTAATTAGGAGAGGAGAGGCGATTTTTTTATTAGCCGGCAAGTTATCCATCAAGTTTTTCATAGCGCCGAGAGTTTCGTCGCAGTTTTTATTTTTTTATTACAGAGATTAAGGGATGAAACAGGGGTTGATGGATGGGGAATTTAATTCTCCATCGAACAGCATTGGTTTCATTCCTTAATATTAATTAGACGGGGAGAGACGATTCTTTAATTAGCGGGCGAGTTAGGCGGGGAGAGACCATTCTTTAATTAGCGGGCGAGTTAAGGGGAGTCACTGCGCCGAGAGACCATTAGGTTTTTCATTGCGCCGCGACTTTCGTCGCAGTTTTTATTTTTTGATTACAGAGATTAAGGGATGAAACGGGGGTTGCTGGATGGGGAATTTAATTCTCCATCGAACAGCATTGGTTTCATTTTTTAATGTTAATTACGAGGGGAGAGACAATTTTTTAATTAGCGGGCGAATTATTAGGATGGCACTCTGCGCCGAGAAACCATTCGGTTTCTCATAGCGTCGCGATTTTCGTCGCAGTTTTTATTTTTTGATTACAGAGATGAAGGGATGAAACGGGAGTTGCTGGATGGGAAATTTAATTCTCCATCGAACAGCGTTGGTTTCATTCCTTAATGTTAATTAGGAGGGGAGAGACGATTTTTTAATTGGTGGGCGAGTTATCCATTAAGTTTTTCATAGCGCTGTAAAATGCGTCGCAGTTTTTTTTTTATTACAGAGATTATGGGATGAAACGGGGGGTGCTGGATGGGGAATTTAAGTCTCCATCGAACAGCGTTGGTTTCATTCCTTAATGTTAATTAGGAGGGGAGAGACGATTTTTTAATTAGCGGGCGAATTATTGGGGTGGCGCTCTGCGCCGAGAAATCATTGGGTTTCTCATAGCACCGTGACTTTCGTCGCAGTTTTAATTTTTTTATAACAAAGATTAAGGGATGAAACGGGGGTTGATAGATGGGGAATCTAATTCTCCATCGAAAAGTCCTCGTCTCATCCCTTAATATTAATTAGCGGGCGAATGAATCAACGGAAAAAGATAAAGTAAACATTGAGGACAAGGAGGACATAAACCCTCCTTCGAACCTACCCCTGTGACAGCGGGACTGCTATAGGGCTTCTAGCAGATGTTTTCCCTGCCCAGGATACCCCCACTCTACGTAATTCCCACTCATATGCTTGTCCTCCACTCCAAAAATCCATGGATATTCTTCTTCTGGCCCTACTGCTGAGTTACCGGCACAGGCAGCTCGCCCAGCCGTTAGAATCAACCGTGGCGCCCTACCTCTGTTGAGGTCTCATTTATTCTGGCTGCGAATCCTGTCAACTTGACCGACCCCGTTGGGATGTCGACACTGCCGCCATCTCCCGGCATTCCCCCTACGGGTCTTGTTTTATCATTAAATACACTCACATTAATTTCAATCAATTGATAGAAAACAATGTTATATACAGTGTAAATATAAACTAATAATTCGTCTATCCACGTTTATTGTGTTTTCAGATATCATTTCCCCCTTTTCAGCTCCAGAAAATGACAATCCTATTAGCCACGCAACAGCCACGCAAGTACCGTGGCTCCTGGATCACCAGGGACATCATAATTCAGGTTTAGATTTTTATGTGTGTAACATCATTAGTGGTAAATCTACCAGAACCTTTCCTTGCTCTCACCTTCTGTGTATGTTAAATGCAATCATGCGCCTTCCTCAGCGTTGACTCAGATCACTTGAACATTGGAGTATATATGTATCCTTGAAACCGTAAACACATTCGATTGAACAGTGTTTTGCACATGGGAATTTTGCAATTATATTTACACGTTCCCATGTTTCATTACATAACAGAATATTATATCGTATTTCTCCAAAGAATTTTATTCACGGGGTTGGACTACATATGACAAACGTTACATTCTTTCTGAAATCAATTCGCAATACATCGACATACTCATGAATTTTGTATTCGAAATTTATTTTGGAATTGCTATGAAATTTGGAATTTTGAAGTTATGAAAAATTCATTGTAATTCCAGGAAAATTTTAGGTTGAAAAAGAGAGAAGTTTCAGTTTAGATCAACATGTATAATTCGTAACATGTAATGCAATATATAGGTGAAGTGTTAAGGCGTTGATTTTTGTTTTCTTCATGTTATCATTACTATTCATAATTTCTATTTTTCCTTCGTTTCGAAACTGCTCTCGTGTGCTGTATTTTCTACATTCATTATTTGTTTTTTTAATTTATTGTAATCGTCGAATTTAGATATCTCTCTGAATTAATTATGTCGATGTGAGTACATTAATAAATTGATGCATTATTGAAGCCGGAAGCTTACTACCAATGGAATCGGTAGAAAAAAAGGAAAAAGTAACATTACACATTTAATTGAAAACAAACATGGTCGAATGCGAACGGTCGCCTGCTTGTTTCTCTACTAAAAACGCGACGAATTTTTGACAATTTTATCATAAACCTCCGATTTCTGGATATTTGTCGAGAAAATTATAGAATTTTCGAGAAGTGCCTACGTTTTTCTTCTTTTACATCCGATTCAGATGGCGTTATACACTGAGTGAAATACGGTCATAATATCACAAAACTAATTTCTTGCGCCAAATATTTCATCTCTTGAGGATAAATTTCTTGGAATAAGAATTCCGGATAATGTGTCAGACAATGTCAGATTTTGGTGAAGTGTTCATGACTTGAACATGAACATTTCATGATAAAGTGAGAATTTCTTCCCACAAGAAATCGGTTTTTTCCTGTCAGAAGATGAGAAAATGACTAAAAATATTAAAAGCTTCGATTCCGTGAATCATGAATCAGATACTTTCGTATTGAGTGAATGGAGAGTTTATGCAGAAGAAAACCTTCAGATATTAAAAAAATATAACCGTCGCTTACGCTCAATGGCTTTGAGTTCGAAGGGAAACAACATCTTCTTTTCCTTCTCTCAAACTATTCTTGTCTTTTAAGGAATATTATCTCATTTCTAAAAAAGACATCATCTTTCCATTCAGTAACTTCTTCCTTAGCCCTAAGAGCACCGATTTCTTGTCTGAAAGCTACCATAAATTGAGCAAATATGTATGCGATGGTTTTCGCTCAAGAAAAGATTTTTGTGATATTATGTCGATTTTTCTCTCAGTGTATCAACACATGATTCAAATTGATGTGTTGGGATACATCTTACGCGGTAGTAAAAATGAGGAAAAAAGCTCTTAAGTAACAAAATTGGAAGATAAAATGTCAAAGAAACGTGAGGTTGGCAATAAATCTACCTTGCATTCACTCTATGTTACATTATTTCGTTAGTTTTTGATGATTTATAGTTTAAAAACGGTTTAATTTTCAATTTTCGACAATTTCATTCAGAGCGATTAACATAAACCGAAATAATAAAAAAACTTACGATACTNACGGTTTAATTTTCAATTTTTCAATGTTTTATTTTTCAATTTTCGACAATTTCGTTCAGAGCGATTAACATAAACCGAAATAATAAAAAAACTTACGACACTGTCGATAATGTTCAACACACAAAATAGACGAATGAAGATGAAGCTATAAGACATTCCAACGTTATAATTCAAGAATTTATAAAACGAGAATTCAAACATTTACATAACAAAGTCTAATGATAAATTGAAGTGCATAAAAATAAAAATAAATTTAATTCGCTGGTCGGTAACTTGCTAGTAATATCAAAGTACTGCATTAACAAAAAAAATTAAAACTAGGTATGATGAACTCGTTCTGTTAGCGCTCGGAGAGCATCATTAGGAATAGCAAGTGATCGGAGTCAACGCCTGAGAAAACGCGTAAAATTCCAACTCTACTGACCGGGGTATTTTATTGGGGAATATTTTACTGTATATAGGTCATGTAAATTTGGTAGGTAAGTCAAGAATCAAATATATTTCTACCCAAAATCATCAATTTTTTTATTATTTTTTTTAATAACAGTGGGAGGTCGATTCGGGTCTCCCATATTATGTGATGTGAACTTTAGCAGTGTCACGAATGTCCTCAAAACAGGTAGGACAAACAGCTGTTCTGCCCTCTCTTTGTGCGACTTCCTTCAGGCGACCTGTGCATTTTGTGCAGGCGGCTACATGGCCACAGGGCAAGAAAATGATGTCCCTTGCTTCATGCAAACAAATTTGGCATGTGATGTCGACGATGTTGAAATTATCTGCGTCGTTTCCTGGAATTCAATAAAAACATGGGATAATTAATATGGTGAAAATACTAAATAAACACCGACGGCCGTGGCTGTGTGGTTACAGTATGGAATTGGCATGTGGGAGATCCGGGTTCGATTCCCGGTTGAAGGGGGGGGAATTTGTGACACTCGAAATCTCATAATTTCATTGTCGAGGGGGAGTTTAGCAAGAGACGACTGTACCTGGGCAGGTTTTTTTCCTCAAATGAGGTTTTCCCTTGTCCTTCGGCGAATGCGGTACAGGGGGTTGGGGGTGGGAGGGGAACAAATCGTAAAAATCCGAAAGGGTATACGAGAAAAAAAATTTTATGTCATTAGGGGCGATAAACCGCGATTCTAACCTGGCTTTGTTCGGTTGGATCGCGGTTTTCGGGCCCAATGATATAAAATATCGTATGTCACACGGCGATAAAAGCATTATCTGGCGAATGCGGCTTTATAATCCGAGCCGAAGGCGAATACTTTTATCGCGTGGTGACATAATATACTATTAATAATTTTTCCAAGTGTGCGGATTGTGGCTCGTTTATGGTGCTTAACACATGAATTTTTATGGAAAATTTTTCTCCGTGTACTAGTATGAACAACTCCATTGTTTCTTTTTGCTATATATCGAATTTTATAATTCAGTAAACAGAGTTTCTCACTACCAGCACTGGAATTTCTCTCATCATCGTACGTTTTTTCAAGCATCGGCGTTGGGCAACGTTTATCAATGTGCTGTAATGAGTAATGAGTCTTATATCGGATTCTCACAGATTATTGTTTCTTTCTGCAACTTACCAAAGTAATTGTTCTGATCGTCTTCATCCGCATGGTAGTGACCGACAGATATGTGCATACGTCCGCCGACGATGGTGGCTTGGGCGTTGCACTGCATTTGCAGGGCTTGTTGGCAAACCAGATAACTGGAAATTTAAAAAACATGGGATCAATCACAGACAATTAACAACGAGCCTATTTACAGTGAGCACTTGCGTTGGACTTGATATGAAGTTAGATTATGTTTGTTAATTTTTTTTATACGAGAACGATGCCTGGTGGCACGGTTTTTACCGACAATCGTAGGTCCAACTGTTGCGGTTTCACCGCCGAGTTACTCAATCTCTAGTCGAGTTCAAGTGCTCGGTGTAAATAGGGTCAATTGGATAAATATTTAGCCACACAACTTACGTTATGCCGTTGGAACGATAATTCAGTACGAAAGGCATTTCCGTATGTGAAGGCGGTTATCAGAGCTTGACAATTCCACAGTGAATAGCAGTGCAGTCGCTCGAAAATAACGGTTGGCGATGGTTGGTGGAGGGAGAACCAATGAAACGCGTCTCTCTATCTCAATTGGTCTATTTCCGCATCAATTAGAAAGTTCTATGTTTCTATAAACCTATATTACTGGGGCAGATGATGAAGCAGTTTCGTGCTTAGTTGTCAAAAGCCATTTTCATTAGCCAATTTTAAAATGTTTCTTAACGGTTTTATATCGAGATTCAAATTTAGAACTGCAAAGTTTTAATAATAGAATCGTTGTAAAATGTCTGGAAACGGGGTCAAATGGGGCTCAAATGAAAGATTGATGCTCGGCTACAAAATTAGAAAAGCGTTCACTGGGGAAAAAATAGCCAAATTTACCTGGGTTAATTAATATTTGAAATATTTATGATTTTTGGTTATTTTGAAGCAATCAAAGGTGACGAATGGAAGAAAATAAATGTTAACATTTATTTGTCGTCCTTGATTACTTTAACATAAAGAATAATCATGTAGATTTTATCGCATTAATGAACATTATGAAGTTATCAAAAAGGAAATAAATGTTTTTTTACTAGTTCAATCCCGAAAAATTAATGAATAATTGGAAATTTGCAAATAAATCAAAATTATTACGATTATTGCTATCGTTATTATTCATCTTCGAACTCGGTCAAAAGTACATGCAAACAAATTTTTGAAGCCATCATTCAATCAATTCACTTTTTTTTTTATTACCGTGAAAAAATCAATTTTTGAAACAATTAACTAATTTCGAAAATTAATAAATGAATTTAACTTTAATTAAGGACGATTGATAGGGCTCAACAATACCTACATTTCAGGGGATTAAAAAATATTCAATTCAATCGATTCATTAGCGAACTATCGAAAAAAAAATTANCATCGATTCATTAGCGAACTATCGAAAAAAAAATTATTTTCATACGTACGCACACACATACATACGTACGAATACGACCTAAAAATTGCATTTGTTGACATTTTGGATCACAATGGGTCGATATAACGATCCAAAACTTAAATTTGAACGATTTCAATGTTTCCATTTGGATACAAAAATGAAACATTCAACAGTCACGAAAGAAGACAGACACACCATCACAACCCCCAAGACTAAATAACGACAATAATGAGAGCAACAGTAATCACAGTGCCTTCAGGAAAACTATCATATTATTCCAACTGTTCCAACGACATTCAACATAACTAAACTCCGATAACACGAATACCCTAACTCCTAACACGACAGCATCGATGACCGCCACTAACAACAGTAATAACCACACGACCAACAACAACGTCACCAAGAGGCCTGCCAGAAGAAAGTAGACCCTCGAACAATCTAGTCTCCAATCGAGAAACAATGAAACAGATGAATGTGGACCTGGTAAGAGAAAAGGTAAACGTAGATGAAGCATAAACGATGACGACGAGAATCACAAGTTGGGAGACAAAACAATGGTGCCACTGAGCCATTTTCACTAGTATCTAATATTTAGAAATAATTACGACTACGAGCTCACAACGAATTTTCTCATCACTATCATTAAGTCCACATATTCATTGATACATATATATAATTATGTATAATGTAAATATATGTTTTCTGTCTACACGATAAATGCTATTTACATTGTGGTTCTATACATTAGTTTTTATACAAGATTTTATGGCACGCCGCGTAATAAGTCGAGTTTATCGCACGCTGCGCTTCGCACAGCATGCTTCAAACTCGGCTTCTGCACGATGTGGCATAAAATAGTATAGACCACTCAGGCATAAACTTCGTTTTCAACGAATGTGAATACAGACCTCGCCTTCGGCTCGGCCTGTAAACTTCACATTCGTCGAAAACGAAATTTGTGCCCTTGTACTCTAATGTACTAATGTCGAAAGGAAATAAGGACAAATCCTATTTACTCGGTCTGTATACCTGAAAGTCTGGATGGATTGTAGGTTTTAGTTCAATTAGACATTGCATTTCAGCCAAATAAAAAATTATCATTGGTGATTCTGGACTATTAAAACATTCGAATTCCAGTCTCGAGACTATTTTTGCACTTTTATTGGTTGAATTCATCTCGATGGAAACTCTGATGTGTAATCACTCATAATAAAGTCATGCGAAATTTTATACAAATCAGTTGACAATAAAGCTTTCAATGACTAGTTCATGAACTAAAAAGAAAACGAAAGGTTGAAAAAATGTTTTCAGAAATTCTCATCGCCCGAGGCTTCGTTTGTTTACAAATTGATCAATCTGCTGACTTTTTAATCACTACGCAGGTCAAAATAAAAGCCAAAGGAAAATAAACCAAAATCAGTTGAATCCAGAGAAAAAAGTAACAGATGCATCAAAAAGCTGCCAAATTAACCCACAAAAAATCAGAAATAAAAATCATTGAATAACGAAAGAAATAAATTTCATTGATTTCTCCACTGTTTTCCCCCTCTACTGGGTTCCCACTTTGTCGTAGTGAGGGGGCTCGGTCGCGGGCGGTGGAGGTCTTAAGGACTACCGCTGCCCGCGGT